CAACCAAACCATTCTGTGATTCTATGGTATCTGCTTCCTGCTCAATCCTTGGCCCTCCTGAGGCATGCACAAAATGAGGGGAGGGCCCATATATCTGATTCTCCTACGTCTACTTTTGGCTTCTTTACATCTGTTCTTTACATTACTTGAAGAACACACTGGGGCAGCAGGAGTAAGAACTATAATCAGCACCACAGAATTAACATCCCTATCTTATGTAATAAACTTAATAGCATTGTTAATTACATGGCTCAGCACTGTACTTAATGTGCAGGTATCTGTTGTTACATACAGGCACCAAGGGTTTGTACTCTGCACCAGCAGCAAAGGTTAGGTTTTGATCTGGTCACTTAATTCCAATCAGTTTCCAGCTGGAACTTGCTTGCTAAGAAAAAAATGATTGAGATGGTGGTAGTTACTGCTCTCCCTGCAATGTGTAGCAGGTTATTTATTTTTTCTGGATTAAGTCATAGGATGATCTTTGTTTTAACATCCAACCTTGCTAATGTCAACCTTATAATGCTAACGTTTCTGATACGTTTCTCTTCCATGTTTTCAAGGCTCATTTAGAACAATTGAAATGAAACCACAGAGACCTGGCTGGTGGCTCTTAGACACTGAAGTGGGGGAATATGCAGGCATCCTATTTGGTTCTAGAGAAAGGTACTGAACTCTAGTGTTTTGTGGCTAGGGGAGTCAAGCTGTAAAGTCATCTCTACCCTTTCAGGATCACTAAAAATAAATTTGGGAGATTGTTCTGCAAAAACCCAAAGCAGATTCTCTGTGCTTTCAAGGAGGGGGTAGAGTGGTTAATGTTTAGCCTCTAGCATACTATCTTTGAATTATTTAGCATATTACTTATACTCTTTTAGCATACTAGCTTTGAATTTGAGGTTTCCTCACAGTGAGCAGTGCATCAATCTACTGAGAGAAATGGCAGAGATTAACTTGACCTTCTCTGGGAAGAGAGTGGTGATGTTATAGTATTACTAAGAATTGTTCTGAATGATGTTGTCTTAGATGATGCCACCAGAATATGTACTGAAATAGCCCTCCTTTTCTTTAACAACAAACTTACTGTGCTGTCTTTAGAGTGCAGGATTCCAATGGGTCTAGCAAGTGGAGTTATACTTGATTCGCAGATCAGCTCTTCAGATCATATAGGTGAGTTAATACTTGAAAAGGTCCAGGCATGCTCCTGAATATCCCCAGTGAAGTATTGCAGTTCCGTATTCTTTTGGCATCTCATGATACATTGTACAAGATCAGTTCAGCAGTGAATCAACGCTCAGGTTAAAAAGCTCTCCAGTGATGCAAGCAGACAGTGAGCTGTACTAGGTAACCCTCATCATTGTATTTTAATAGTTTCACAGGTGTACTGTCAGTATCACAAGCCTGAGAGTCAGGGAGTCCTCTGTCCGTTGCCTGCTGAATGACCGGCAACAAATCCAGCTTTATCTTTTTGTCCTTTGGGTTCCCTGCCTGAAAATCATCAGCAAGTGTTCAAGAAGCTTTTGAGATATGTGTGTGTATGAGATGTGAAAGAATAAAGTGTATCTGTTATGAAAGATTTGGGAACCTGGCATCTGGAGCAATGACAGAGTCTTTAATTTATCAGGTTTAATCCTGGCATAAAAGTGGGATCATTTGATAGAGAAATTGATAGAATTTCACATGGACAGTTGCAAATCAAGGTATACAGGTTACACATGGATGCAGGAACACACATCCTTTCCCTCAAAATAACAAATAACTTACTTATTTTGGAAACCTGGTTTTTATGTGAATTTAATTTTCTTTCTTCACTTCCCACCACAGTGTTATGAAGGCTTGAAAGCTGTGTTGTCATATATATTTCACATCGATGATTAACATGGAAATCTCCTTATGCAGAGGGAAGCGCTCTGCCATGAATGTAGAGCACATTTTGTGTCTGATCCCACTGACAGCCAGAACTCGTTTAGCAAACTCTAGACCCTGGTTCCAAATCAGTAGACAGTACATTACATAAAAAGCTGTTATTTTTAAAGTCATTCTGCCAACTTTGCAGGGTAACAACTGACTTTCAGTTGCTGACTATGTCCAAATTATCCTAGATTATGGTTTTAGAGTCTGTTGGTTGGGGTTTTTTCTCAAGACAGATTGGAAAATAACTGAAGCACTCAACATCAGTAGCTAGTTAGAGCCTCCATTTTTTGGCACCTCTCTTCAAATTCTTGCTTTATTCATATTTTCTGTGTAGACTATTGGGAACCTAAGTTAGCACGATTAAACAATTCTGGAACATACAATGCTTGGAGCACTACAATGAAGAAAGAACAACTCCCTTGGATCCAGGTATGGTTGGTAAAATGTGTGCTTGACCATCGTTGGGCCTGGGTATGGCCACGCAATCCTGTGTTGTGACTTTCCTGCAGCTTGTTTTAAAAGGCCAAACTGCTCTTGTTCTTGCTGAGAGAACTGCTGGGGAAAACTGAAAAGATGCAGCAAGCTTGGCTGGTGATATCATAAACTGGAGTGACCCAGTCTCTACTGCTATTGAGGCCCACTAACTGGACAGTTACCCTCACAATTTAGACTGTAACTGTTTTGCAGGCAAGCAGAGTCATTCTTTCCATTATTTTTTTCCCCTCCATCTACCTAACAGTACATATTTATATTTATATATGTTTGTTGGGTGATCATTTAAAGTGTAATATTCTCAAACATTGATTCAGATAGCTTTGTGTGTGTTTGTTTTGGATGCTTCTGTGTCCAACTCGACATAGCACAGTGTGGCTTCACAGGGAGATTAAGCGTATAATTATGGTTTCAAGCACTATATCATTCAGTCACCTCACTTCTTCCACCTTTTTCTTCCGTTCCACTCACTTTTGCACCAGACAGACAATTTTCAGCCAAATTTAGGGAAGATAGTTGATTTCTTACAAGTCTCATTAAAATTTGCAGTTGGGAGAAAAGAAAGAGTCAAACTAGTGTTGCAGTGTTAAGTTCAACAGGTGGCTGTTGTTTGGCTTGCTAATATTTGACATGCTAGCAAGTTAGTGGAGGTGAAGTAGGGCGAGAAGGTTGGAGTATCTGATGTGGAACTGGAAATAATGTTGGGAAGAGAAAGAATTTGATAGGGGGCATGGTAGTGAGAAGCTGAGGCTACTGCAGTAAAGCATGGAGAGATGTTGAGGGCATATCCTGAAGAATGCGTTTCACTGCTGATAGGAACATCTTGCTGATTTGATTTTATGTGCTAAGGTTTTGGATCTGATATCATCAGGAATGGTGGCTATTCAGCACTTCAGAATGACGTATCCCTTCGCTCAGCCTGGGTATCCAAAAGTAGAGGCAGCTTATGAAAATATGAGCCTTGAATTTCTCTATATTCCTTTTGCCTATTTGTAAAATGAGGATAGCAGAGTTCTGCCTAGCATGGAGACGCAGATATTTTTGAGGTGTCTTTGTGGGGCTGTACTGAACACTGTAAAATGGCCTCTGAAGTTAAATGCACACACAAATAAACACACAAATGAAATGAGAGAGACAGCATTAATTTGGACTCTGGCATCTGCTTCTATTCTTCCCGAGAGTGTTAGTGTTGTGTGTTTTAAAGGGCTCAAAGCTATTGTGTAGATGCTGAGGAATGAAACAAAATTCACTGTGCATTATTGGCTTTATAAACACTGTTTGCTGTTCCTAGGTGGACTTTCAAAGACAAGTTCTGTTAACTGGGATACAGACGCAGGGAGCCAAGCAGTTTTTAAAGTCCTTGTACATCCAGAAGTTCTTTATTGTTTATAGCAAAGACAAACGGAAGTGGAGCACCTTCAAAGGAGACAGCTCTCCAGCACAAAAGGTCTGTATGTGCCATAGGGGTTGCGACAACCTAGGTAGCATCGTTGGATGTGAGGTGACAGTTTTATGTTAAGAGATAATGAAAAAAATTATGGCCTTCCGAGACTTAATAATGCAGCTTGAGGCCCCAAAGGGCATTTATCAATCTAATCAAATTCTGACCAGAAGACAAATTATAAGGTGAGGAACCTCATAGACTAGGGTTTAGATTGGCCCTGTGACCTTGACTGTATAGACTCTGGCTTTTTCACAAGCATCTCTTCCTACTTTTATTTCCTAAGCCCATGCCAGCTTCTTGAAGCAAGCAGGAAGCTGAACTAAAAATCAGGCCCTCCCTCATTTGGGACTAGATCCTGCATCCTCTCCTTGCCTTCCTGCTGTCACAACAGTTGAATGTTAAACTTTGATTTGCCTGCAGAAGGCCTGTGTAATAAGTGTGGCCGTACCCTGCTAGAGGTTCATTTTATGTCCAACCACTCCAGCCCTGCCAATTACAGCTACCTTCAGGTTACCCTGAATTTTCTATGATACAACTCCCAAATCTAAAACTTCTTGTCTCTTAGCTCTCCTTTTGCCTCTTTACTAATGTTTTCTTACAGACTTATACAGTGCATAGAAATGGGTTGCTTATTTGAACTGAGGCTTGCAAATATGCTAAGACAGGACCATGAAGTATTTCCAGTTGCCCTGCAGCATAGGGCACTCCATTACAGTGAATGGGGCTAACGACCTAAAAAGACTACTTTTGTAGCAGGGCAAATTTTCAGTATCCAAGCTTGTGTTTGCATTAAATTAACAATATATGGATATCTTTTTCTTTTTTTTTTTTTAATAGATTTTTGAAGGTAATTCTGATGCCTACGGGGTAAAAGAGAACATCATTGATCCCCCTATTATTGCTAGGTACATCAGAGTCTACCCAACCGAGGCCTACAACAGGCCTACTCTTCGTATGGAGCTTCTGGGCTGTGAAGTGGATGGTAAGAATGAGTCATGTGCTGGTGCTTCTTTTCTGGCAATTTTTTTTACTTAATATGTTAAATGAAGCTAAATTATGGATGTTCTCAATTTCAACATTGTTGCTCAGGATGAACTACTTGGATGAGCTGAAAGTATCATGGTACTTCTCTTAACAGGTTGTTCTTTGCCACTTGGAATGGAAAATGGAGAGATCAAAAATACCCAGATAACAGCCTCGTCAGTTAAGACATCCTGGTTTAGCACATGGGACCCTTCACTTGCTCGTCTCAATCAGAAAGGAAAGATGAATGCCTGGCGAGCCAAGGTAACAAGTGAAAAATAGGGATGACAGCAAGACAGCTACAGTTAATACATTTCTGCTGCCTGTGTGCTTATGTGCTTCTTGTACGCTGTGTCCAGTGCCAAGCATGATAGGGTTACTTCACAGCTCTTTAGCCATCCTTTGGGAAGAAGCCCATTCAACTCTTCCAATAGAAAACTTGTTGAACTTCTGGCAACAGCAATGCAATCATATTTTGAGGGACGGATAGTGTCCTCTGGGCCAGAGCCTGCAGGACTTCCCTGCAGAAATAGCCCTTTTAATTTCAGGAGATGAATACAACTGAATATTTGGCTCGAAGGGGTTAAAGAAACCCTTCATGGGTTGGCTTATAGGCAGTGCAGCTTAATGCGTCTGAGGGTGGATGACCTTCAGCAAGGTATGTGAGCTTCTGTGTCTTCAAAATGGAGCTGCATATCTTTATGAAGCACCTTGAGATTTGCTGGAAGCTATTGTTTTGTATAGGCATTTGGTATTAGTATTATGTATTACGTTTTAATACTGGAGATAAACCTGTGCTATTTTTCACTATGTATTGGAAACTTTAAGACACCAAATACACCACCTGCAGTGAAGAAGCTAATTCTATGGGCGACCAAGAATGCTTGTGACTTTTGCCTCAGCTTTACTATTCTGCACTTCTTTGATACAGTTTTGATGCATTTTGATGCAGTTTTAACTATGTTTAAACAGGATTTTTCACTTAAGAAAATAGAGAGACACGTTTGCTAATAGACAACCTTTTTTGTGAATTGTAGTTGAACAACAACCAACAGTGGCTGCAAATTGATCTTCTCGCAGTTAAGAAGATAACTGCTATTGCTACCCAGGGTGTCAATTCCATGTCTGCTGAAAACTTTGTGAAAACCTATGTTATCCTATACAGCGACCAAGGCTCAGAGTGGGAATCCTATACAGATGGTTCAAGCTCAGTGGCAAAGGTATCATCCTCAGCTCAGGCAATTGTATCATCGCTTGGTTTTAGATGCTGAGCACAGTCAAGGCCCAAAGGCAGAATACCCAGCCAAAGACATATTCTCACAGGACTTTAAAATGCTAGGGAGCTGGGGTTACTACAGATAATGTCATAGTATCCATCTAATTTTGATCATAGTAATTAACAGTAATAAAAGGGAAGAACTCTAAATCTGTAGAGAACGTAGTCAACATTGTGATAAAAGGAGCTGACGCTATTTGTAAAGGAGGACGTTTAATTTGAATGCATGAGGACATTTAATTTGAATGAATGATGGATTTCCCAGGGCCTCTCTTCAGCTTTTTTATTTCTGCCTTGATTTTATAATGAAATTAATGTTAGTGAGCAGTTTTGCTATAACAGAGCTGGAGAGCTCCAGATACCCACAGAGCAGACACAGTACTTTATATTGTTGCTTGTATCACCTTATACCAACCTAACAAACAAGGAGGCTATTAGAAGAGGTAAAATAAAGGGAAGTTTGGTTTTTTTTAGTCCATCCAAATTAGAATGGCAAATTTTGTGGTGTGGATGGAAAGAGAGGCTGTTTAATTCATTCAGACTCGGATGTTGCTGGCCTGAACTAGCTTTGACTCAGCATTTTAGGAAGAAACTGGATATGGTCTTATGTAAAATCAGAAATGAGCCAGTCCGTCTAGCCTGGATGGCTAATGCAACAGCTTGGAACCGTTTTAAAAAGAAAAAGCAGGGGTTTTTTTTAAGTGCTGCCTTTTAACTCATTGTGTGTTTGTGTATTTGCAGGTTTTCTTGGGTAATGAAAACAGCAATGGGCACGTCAAGCATTTCTTTAACCCACCCATTCTGTCCAGGTTTATCCGCATTGTTCCAAGAACATGGTATCATGGTATTGCCCTCCGGGTAGAACTCTATGGCTGTGATTTTGTTGGGGGTCTGGCTGTGAAAAGGACTGACAAGTCTGGGAGCTCTTAAGCTTTCAGAAATTGTCATGCAGAACAACTTTTTTTTTTTTTTAAACCCTTAAAACAATCATACTTAGTATGTGTGCTTCCTCAAAGGACTGTAATGTTTTGCCAGCAAGAATTAAGAGAGATTTCTCTGGCAGATGTTTCATTCCTACAAATATACACTTTAGAAAACACCTTATTTTCTCTGGGAAGAAATAGCAGTCACTTCTGATCTGTATTATCATTTCTTCATTCTAACCAGTACTGTCTTACTTTTTACTTAATTTTAAGTTCTAAATCCCTAGGGATGGAGACTCTGGCCTTAATCCTGAGCTCTGATTATCTACATTTTGTAATGCTTCTGCAGTACAGAGGAGGAATAGAAAGCTGCAGCAGGTGGGTGTTCTCCATACATAGGGCTGAGAGGGAAAAACCAATGCAGATATGGAGCTGTGGTGCTGCATTCCAGCAATACCTTGGTAAGAAGTGATTGTAGAGGTGGCCTCACCTCCACATGTCTTTCATCTACACTGTGACAAAGGTAGAACGCATCCCAGCACTGAGGTGTGTGCAACCCCTTCTTGGAGAGTATGGGTTTGCATTATTGATTCAGTTCTTACATATGCAGCACACCTGAAATGCTGTGGATTTCGCATAATTCATCTTCGGTGCCCTAGCAAGGGGACGTGGAGTCAGCAATATCTCTTATCTTTTTTTTTTTTTTCCCCAGAAATGAGAAGGGATGTGATTTAACCTGGATTATGGCAGGTCATGGAATGGCAACAGTAGAACCAAAGTGAGAATCCAGAACTCCTGACATTCAGTCCCATACAAACTTTTAGACCGTGGGGAAGGGGAGCTCCCTGGAATAGGAAGGTATCGAGAACTGCAGCTGTTCAGTGAGAATACAACCTGGTGGTGGCAGAGGAGAGTTAGATGAAACTGGGTAATACAAACATCTGCATCTTCTTTTCCATTTTGCTCTGACAGTGTTTTCACTAATGAAACTACTGTTGTGTGTAGAGCATACGTGGATTTTTCCCAGGATGACTACATCTAATGAAAATATATACACAGTCCATGAACTTGTGATTCCAGCAGAGTTTTACCTAAGCTTTCAGTAGTGTTTTTGGTTTCTATCATGTAAATTGTTTAATTGCAGAACTTCCACTTATCACACTAGGTAACCTTTAGTAGGGTGGATTTTTCAAAGTAGTTTGTCTTTGAACCTTGTGTGGTGTTACCCAAGTTATTTCAGTAGTTTTCAATTCTTGTATCATACAGACTGCATTTCAAAATGAAGGTGTAGAATGGGAGTGAAAAAAGTATAAAAACTAAACGAATATTCTTTTTTTTTTAACTATATCACAAACTTGTCGTTTTTCACTGGAAAATAAAGATAATATTGTAGCATGAAAAAAATCAACATTTTATTTTGTGTATTTGCCTTGACAGTAGTACCTCTTTAGCAATAATTAGTGAAACTTTGCATCATCAAAGTAAAAGTTTCAGCTTGATGGGATTTTCTGTGCTAATTAGAATTAATTTCAAATGATGAAACTGTATGAGTAACTGCTTCATCTTAAAAGATCCGTTTCTTAATATATTGTAATGGTGCTTGCTTTATTTT